ATATTTATTATACTCTAAAAAATACAGGGTTTAATTAATCTAAACATAACTATTAACACATTTAATTGCACTGTCTTAAGAAAAGATATAAAAGAATAATGCATTTATTGTACTTTTTAATAATTAATTTTTATAAAAATATAAAAATTAATAACTTTAATTTTATTAAATATTTAATTAAAATCATTCACATAAGATTAAATTTAAAAATAATATTTACTTTTACATACTTTTTATAAAAATTACTAATTATTAAAAAAATATATAATAAATTTACCTTTAATCTATGGCCTCAAGTTAAAAAAAACCCCATAAATGACCAAGTGCGGATCTGGTGGACTCTATATTCCTTCATAGTGTGTGAAAGGAAGCAATGGCCAATCTTTGGTATAACAACAAGCGTCGGAGAGTACTGAAGACCTTGTCATCTATGGGCTGACACAAATTTATTCATGATACTAGCTAGCCAGCCATTGAGCCGAAAGTAGCACATCTTTGGGTACAATCGTGACATGAAAGTCTAAAAGAATGGTGGAAATTAATGAATGAGTACAAGTGATGCCCTGCACCTGGCAAAGTTCCTACAGGGATTGAATTTGATTTGCAGCACTAAATGGTCCAGTGTGCAGTGTGACCATGCTATAGCCAATGCAAGAGCATGCCGTGATTATGCACACAGTGCATGGAGTTAGAAAGGGAATTATCATGGTTATAAATTCAAGTACAAAATTCAAAGATGCCAATCGTGTGGAATTAGTATATCAGTCACCATTACAAGGACACAACAAAGCCAGAGAGCAGTGCCGTAATGGGTTTGTCTCAAAAAGGACCCTTGTATGCAGGTGTTGATTATATACAAAATTTCAGAGGGCAGGCACCTTAGGGCTATTGAGAGCTTATTCTTGGTGGGGGTACCACTTGGGAGGGAACATAAAATTGTCATTTTAGGGCAGGTAGGGGTGCTTAAGTTTTGAATGTTTGGCAAGTTAAGGGCATCCTTTGTCTCTTTTGTAGCCTCTTTTGTTCTCATTTCCCTTGGATATAAGCAGCGGCCTTCATCTTGGAATGTCTCCTGGAGAAAATGAAAAATATCCTCAAAGGATTATTTTATCAAGGACCCCACATTGTGTTTTCTCACTCACCCAACGGGCTTTCTTTTTTAAATACAGTATATTAATAAATAAATAAAAAAAAGGGAAATTCTTTTTAACTTTTTTCTTTGTTGACTCTGAGAACACGTAGTCCCTTATAATAAATTATCAATTAGTTTCTAAAGATTTAAATTAATAGAGCTTGATAACTATTTAGTATAATGATTTAAAATTAATTATTAGTAAAATTTTATTTAATATGATGATTAATAACTATTAATATTTTTATTTATTAAATTAAATAAAATGATTGACTATTAATTTCAAATTGTTATTTCAAATAACCTTTAATGCTGTTGATCAAATTTAGTTTTTCAATCGATTTAACATAATACTTTAATACTTTAATAATTAAGATCATGAAAAAAATTAAAGTCGATTGAATGCCTTCATGCGCACCCTTTAATGATCAAAGTTTAAATCAATTTTTGCCGACTCTTTTTTATGCAAAACACGTGGATGTAGAACTATTAATTGAAGTATTTGTAAGTATATATCTAATATCTTTGCTTAGAAGTGAATCTTTTAGAGAAGGAAAACAAAAGATGCCACTCTCTCCAACTTATAAGTGGGGTTGACATTTTGCTTGTTTATATATATCTTAGTCTTTGACCCATTTATTTTCCATTGTTTTTGTGGTTTGACTACACGATTTCTTTATGAATTTCTTAGTTGAACAACCAACTAAATGAGTCCAACAAGCCATGAACTCTATTCAATTTATAAAGGAAAGATAACGATTCTCTCTCAGGTTACATTACCTTGTTTTGGTGGGGTTTGCTAGAGATATATATCAAAGACTGGAAGACTATATATCATATTATCATGTTGGTGACAAATGACAATTCACATTGTTGTCTTTTTTTTTTTATTTTAATATTTGGCGGAAATGACTTAAGTTGAAATTTATTATTATTTTAACAATTTTTGAGGTTAAAGATTATGAACTCTCAAAAACTCAAACTTAAATTATTATTAGTACTAGTTAGTCTTTATATTTAATTATATATCACTCACAATCACATTTTAATCCTAATATATATGAAATGGACAATGATTGATATAGACTTCAATTCAATACATTGTATAACATACTTATTAAAAAAATCATTATTTCTTAATACGGAATTAAAGGTAAAAAAGTTCAAACATACAATCATGTACACATGATGTAGGAACCATTTGAATCAACTGTAATTACATTATATTTTTAATGGTTGAATTGAAAATGTGTTAAATCAAGTGTATACTAATAATTTTTCATATGAAATTTAAAGCATCACAAGGTTATACAATTCAAAAAAGCAATTTTTTTATCTATCTTGAGGGACATTAATCTATAGGACAATTATATATACACCCAAACAATCAACACCCATCTCAACACCCAAGGCTAAAATGAGGAGGGGTAAATTTGTAATTTTACTGTTCATAAACCTTGGGTGTTGAGATGAGTGTTGATTGTTTGGGTGTATATATAATTGTCCTAATCTATATATGCATGGTTATAGGTTTATAGCTTCGTAGAGGAGGCATGTTAATAGTATACAGTAATTAATGTATATGTAAATGGGTTCCAGATATTCCTTATATTTTAATTAATAATTTTTTCTCTGATTAAAAAAAAAAAGGGATTTTAGCTTAATGAAAAGAGCTTGGTCTCAGATGTTCTTATGACTTGAAAACTGCCTTTTTGTTCCTTGAAGTAATGATTGTCTTTGAATTGGGTCTGAATTTAGTGCATTAGTCTTGATAAAAGATTAAGACGGAAAGCAAGCCCGCACGCTGGAATGAACCACTGATTACATTACCGGTAGAACAAGTCCAAGTTTGTAGCTTAGAAGTCAAGAATTCATACCTCTATGATGCAAGCAAAAATTATCTAGAGAAGAGTAATTATATCAAATTAGTAAACAGATTAATTGTTTCTAGCTATAACTAGAATGTCATTTTTTTCCCACATTGCAATGTCGTGATTACGCTAAGAATGTAATGATTGATGAGAGTGGTATTAGGAACTAACTTTATCCAATATTAATCGACTTAATTTTTAATTCAAAAAATTTAAATTTAATTACTTACTTTTCTTTTAAGATATTGTTTAATACATTTATTTTTATTTTACTCTTTATTATAAAAATATAATTGATTAATATATAGTACTAAATAAATATAAAATTTAATTAATTAATTATTATATTTTTATTTTATTAAATTAATTAATTAATTAATAAAAACAAAACATACTAAAGTTGAACAACTATTTATAAAAAATAAAAAAGGTTAAACAACTAAAGTTGAAGAGAGAGTATTTAGAAGAATTGAAGTTTAGATGGACATCAAATTCTAGAGAGTCAAAAGTAATTGTTCAAACAATTGCTTTGTTGTGTCCCGACAATGTATCCAAACTGTTGTTGTCTGAGAGAGGTTGAATTTGAGAGGAAAACAAAAATGTTTGAGAAGGCTTATCCTAGTGCAACTCGGCATCTACGTACCCGTACGTTTTGTCAATTTATTCATTTAAAAGTATTGACTACAATTCTTGTTTTTGCTTGTTGGAAAGAAACATGTATAGAATATGAGGTATCTAAAAAGTTCGTGATTTAGTTGATAAAGAGTTTGTTTTCTATTTTATTGATGAAGGTTTGATTTTTTGAGAAATTAATTAGAAAGTACTTTTTTATGAATTTCTTAATCTCCGTATAAATGGCTTATATTTAACTAAATTGGATAAAAATTAACTTTAAAGTATGTACAAACTAGTTCAGAGACATTTAACTATTAAAAAGAAAAGAAAATGTGATGACTACTTGATTGTAGTGTCTTGTATGACCATAACAACATTCTGCCTAACAACAATAATGAAGCACTGGATTTCATTGGGACTCTGTTACTCCACAGTTAAGTGAATTTGGGGAAAAATGAAGTAATAGGATATCATTTTGTAGGTAATATTTAGGGTTTAAGTCTAAGGTTAGTATCCAATAAAATTAATTTCCTTAAATATACTAGGTTGATGTTAAAATTCACCTTTAAAATCACTTTAAAAAGGATTAATCTCTATATACACAAAAGCTAATTCGAAAAAACTCTAATAATAAATTTAAAAAAAAAAAAAAGTAGTGGTAGGATATGTATTGAAAATATCCTGGCCTTTTATTGAAAGTAATAGCTCAAATACAATCTAGCTAACATAAACTGAAAATTCGGCCCAAAAATAAATGGATCATAAAGCTTCTTCTTTCTTTTTTTAGTATTGAACGGGCCATAGCCCAGAGGTGGATGATAAAGGAATTGATTTGTTTGATCCAAAAGAAGAATTGGAACTTGGTCTGCCATGCTAAACCCAAAACCAAAGCCAGTCCTTGAACTAATTAATTTACATAAAAGGCCAAACTGGGCTTGAACCTACAGCGAGAAGCCGAAGGCTGATGCTGGGCTTTTCCGAGTCCTTTTCTTTAGGAATTTTT